ACCCAAAGCGTGGAGCTCGGCATCCATGTGCTGCATCTTCTCCGCGGGCAGGCGGGCTTGCACACATAGAGCTGCAAGTCCAGCCACACCCGCAGCTTCTGATGCTGGTTCCACGGCTCTGGGCGGCCCCACGACACGGACCACCTGCTCTGCATCGTGCTGCGCTGCCGCGTCGCGGATCCACGCTCACATGCACTGCTTGCAGGGCTGCGTGTCCTGGAGATGACGGACGGTGGCGGTGGCCGTGAAAACATGGACACGGCTCTGCATGTGGCGCACATCTTCCTGGGAGACGCTACCATATGGCACCCAGAGGCCCTCGGACTTGGCGGTCATAATGCATCCACGATGCCACTCAAAGTCCACATTGCCATCGTTGAAGGCCTGCGAGACTTGCACCTCGAGGGGCTGGCCCTGAAACAAGCTCAAAAACGCAGTGACTGGTAGAGTCTCCTGGGCGTATTCCACAGGTCTGTAGTCATCCCAGAACAAGAACCGCTTCTCTTTCAACAGATTGCGAAGCGCGAACTTGGAGTTCAATGCAGGCTTGTGGAAAACGTGCTTGAACCCGAAAAGATCATCAAAGGGAAGCAAGATGGTTGTCTTCCCAGAATTCGTGGGACCTGCAAGAAGCGGCACCCGTGTTGTCTTCGAAGGGCCTGAGCGAATGATCGCCCGCAGGGCCGTTGCCAGCTCCTGCTGCGACACACACGCTGCATTGGCCGAGAAGAACGCTTGCACGGCTGCGGCATAGGTGCAGCTCCCATCATGTGGGCAGGCTTCCTGCGCTGTACGGCAGACCAGATCCCAGTCCAGATCTTTTTCGGCCGCTGCCGCGGAGCGTGCCATTCCCCAGTCGGCGGCTTCTTGCAGAAAGTCCGCAAGCTTTCTCTGATGCGCGTGAACGAAGACCTGCATCTCGGCCGTGCCATGGTCTTGGGCATATGCCAGCACGGCAGCCTTGGTCGTCAAGTTCTTCGCCAGCATGATGGAAGTCAAATCCAATTTGTTGAACTTCGGCCTTTTGGAGCTCTGTTGGCTTCCGCTGGCCGTTTTTGCGGACTCCTGTAAGTCCAAGGTTGAGCTAGGTCTCATTACGGAACATTATGCCAGAAACCTGCACGCAAAAACGCAAGGACTCCGATGCACAAGAACACTTTTCAGCCCAAACCAAAGGTCCTCGTGTCTACGCTTCCAGACTTCAGCCATCCATGGTCTCTGCGACTCGGCAAACAAGTCCAGCGCACCCCAACCGCCATCTTCTGACCAGGATACGGGGTTGGCATCCACCTCGGGCTTCTTGGCCGTGGGGATGTGTCCATATCCTCTTGTCTTTAGCAACACTTTCACAGCAGGTTAGCCTTGCATAGGCCGCGGTTCCAAACCCGCACATTCACTACCACTGCATTCGGAAAATGTTTTTCAACGTTTTCGGACGTTTCTTTCTTCGTTCTGTATGGGTTTTTGCAACACTTTCGTGCCGTTTCGCTAAAATTGCCAACGCGCAGACTACGATTTAAAAACCGCGCATTCCTTGCAGCAACCTGCCGAAAAATTGCTTTTGAAGCCTTCGGCTAGATTTTGCTTCGCTTCTTCTTGTCTTTAGCAACACTTTCACAGCAGGTTAGCCTTGCATAGGCCACGGTTCCAAACCCGCACAGTCACTACCACTGCATTCGGAAAATGTTTTTCAACGTTTTCGGACGTTTCTTTCTTCGTTCTGTATGGGTTTTTGCAACACTTTCGTGCCGTTTCGAAAAAAATTTGCCAACGCACAGACTACGATTTAAAAACCGCGCATTTCTTGCAGAAACCTGCCGAAAAATTGCTTTTGAAGCCTTCGGCTAGATTTTGCTTCGCTTCTTCTTGTCTTTAGCAACACTTTCACAGCAGGTTAGCCTTGCATAGGCCGCGGTTCCAAACCCGCACATTCACTACCACTGCATTCGGAAAATGTTTTTCCACGTTTTCGGACGTTTCTTTCTTCGTTCTGTCTGGGTTTTTGCAACACTTTCGTGCCGTTTCGAAAAAATTTGCCAATGCACAGACCACGAGTCACGCAGTCACTCCATGACTCACTGACGCGCCCACCCACCCACCCACCCACCCACCCACCCACTCAGCCACCCAGCCACCCAGCCACGCAGCCACGCACGCACGCATTCGCAGATGCAGGCATACTCCCCTCTATATCTCTCTCTTCGTCTCTCTCACTCACCCACACACAATACGTTGAACTTCGCAGGTTGGATGCTCCAAACTCTGGTTCAACAGGCGACCAAGCGAAACTCTGCAAGCTACGAGAAGTGGGATGCCCTCCAAGCTCGATGGCGCAAGGCTCAAAAACATGAAACTCTGCATGCTGGGTAGTGAGACGTCCAAACTCTGGCTGATCGACCAAACGTCCAACTGTGCAAGCTGTCAAGTAGTGGCGATCTGAGGAACCAACCCTACGTCGTTCGCAGGCTGCTGGGTAGTTCGATGCCTCAAAAGCTTAAAAACGCTGTGCACGCGAACAAACATGAAACCCTGCAAGCTGCTGGACAGTTGGATGCTTTCTGAACTCTGGCGGCCAACCTACCAAACGTCAAAGTCTGCAGGCTGCATGCCCTCCGAGCACTCAGAGGCACTGAGACAGCTTCCAAACGTCGAACTTTGCAGGCTGCCAGGTACATGGATGCCTCCAGCCGCACGAAGCAGCTAACATTAAACTCTGCAGGCGGCTGGACAGTTGGATGCTCTCCAATTCTAGCTTCTACCAAACATGAAACTCTGCTGGACAGTTGGATGCTTTCTGAACTCTGGTGGCCAACCTACCAAACGTCAAAGTCTGCAGGCTGCATGCCCCCCGAGCACTGAGACACACTGAGACGGCTTCCAAACGTCGAACTTTGCAGGCTGCCAGGTAGATGGATGCCTCCAGCCGCACGAGGCAGCTAACATCAAACTCTACAGGCGGCTGGACAGTTGGATGCTCTCCAATTCTAGTTTCTACCAAACATGAAACTCTGCTGGACAGTTGGATGCTTTCTGAACTCTGGTGGCCAACCTACCAAACGTCAAAGTCTGCAGGCTGCATGCCCTCCGAGCGCTGAGACACACTGAGACGGCTTCCAAACGTCGAACTTTGCAGGCTGCCAGGTAGATGGATGCCTCCAGCCGCACGAGGCAGCTAACATCAAACTCTGCAGGCGGCTGGACAGTTGGATGCTCTCCAATTCTAGTTTCTACCAAACATGAAACTCTGCTGGACAGTTGGATGCTTTCTGAACTCTGGTGGCCAACCTACCAAACGTCAAAGTCTGCAGGCTGCATGCCCTCCGAGCGCTGAGACACACTGAGACGGCTTCCAAACGTCGAACTTTGCAGGCTGCCAGGTAGATGGATGCCTCCAGCCGCACGAGGCAGCTAACATCAAACTCTGCAGGCGGCTGGACAGTTGGATGCTCTCCAATTCTAGTTTCTACCAAACATGAAACTCTGCTGGACAGTTGGATGCTTTCTGAACTCTGGTGGCCAACCTACCAAACGTCAAAGTCTGCAGGCTGCATGCCCTCCGAGCGCTGAGACACACTGAGACGGCTTCCAAACGTCGAACTTTGCAGGCTGCCAGGTAGATGGATGCCTCCAGCCGCACGAGGCAGCTGACATCAAACTCTGCAGGCGGCTGGACAGTTGGATGCTCTCCAATTCTAGTTTCTACCAAACATGAAACTCTGCTGGACAGTTGGATGCTTTCTGAACTCTGGTGGCCAACCTACCAAACGTCAAAGTCTGCAGGCTGCATGCCCTCCGAGCGCTGAGACACACTGAGACGGCTTCCAAACGTCGAACTTTGCAGGCTGCCAGGTAGATGGATGCCTCCAGCCGCACGAGGCAGCTAACATCAAACTCTGCAGGCGGCTGGACAGTTGGATGCTCTCCAATTCTAGTTTCCACCAAACATGAAACTCTGCTGGACAGTTGGATGCTTTCTGAACTCTGGTGGCCAACCTACCAAACATCAAAGTCTGCAGGCTGCATGCCCTCCGAGCATTGAGACACACTGAGACGGCTTCCAAACGTCGAACTTTGCAGGCTGCCAGGTAGATGGATGCCTCCAGCCGCACGAGGCAGCTGAAATCAAACAATGCAGGCGGCTGGACAGTTGGATGCTGTCGAAAACTCTACTGAACAGTTGGATGCTTTCTGAAGTCTGGCCTGCCGCAGTGGCCATCAAAAGCTTCATGCGGATCTCAGGATCTGTTTCGCGTGTTCGTGTTTCGAGGTGTGCCAGGACGCGGATGGTCCCTGAGATTTCTGCAGCAGTTCCAAAACCCTTCTGAGCAGTCAGACATAAGCAAGCCACAGACCATGCCAACTATGGCGGTGAAATGCAGTGACAGTCTCGTGCCCTGGGACGCTTTCTGGCTGTGGCAGTCACAGTAGTGTGTTGCAGCTTGAAGAGTCGGGCGTGAAGCACACAACAGTGCACGCATCCCGTTCTAAACAAGCCAGAAGCTACTCTAAGTTACAAGACGCTCACCGCAGCAGACTTGCAGCCACAATACATGTCATTGCAGCATTGCGCGTTTGTGAGTACCCAGCAGGTCTGGTAGGTTGCAAAGAGTTCACGAGTGCAGCTCTGTGCTCTACTGTACGGCGCTGTGGCTCGCGGGGAAGGCTACAACACACAGGACGGCCTGCAAGCATCTTATTTGTACAGATATGTACACGGGCGTTCTGTACATTGGTGCGGCAAAGAATGGCAAAGACAACGCCCACCACGCCAGAGCAGAAACACTACCGCAGGACGGCCTGCAAGCATCTATCTGTACAGATCCTAAAACGAGCACTTCTCTACAGTGCTGCGGCAAAGACAACGCCCAGCACGCCAAGCGAGGAGCAGAAACACTGCTGCAGGACGGCCTGCAAGCATCCTATACAGATCTCCACACGGGCATTCTGTACATTGCTAGGGCAAGACAAAGCCCACGACAAGCTACAGAAACACCGCACGTTCACCCTCCCAGCCGCATTCTCACCACTTCGCTCAAATCTGCATCTGACAGGCGCCGCGCTTGCTTGAGCAGCCTCCGATTAACATGTATTGGTGCTTGTTAGGGGCAAAACTTCTTGCAGAGAAGGCGCCTTTGCTTCTTCTGCTTCGCGCTCTTCAATGCCCGAGTCGCCCTCTTCATGGATTCTTTCAGATCCTTTCTAGCCTGTTTCAGGCGGGCGAGCTGCGTGTCCAAGCTCTCCTGCCAGGTTTGACGCACAGACGCATTTTAGCAGCACCCTGCAGACTCCGCTGGGCTGTTTTTTCTACCGTGTGTCCGTGCCAGAAAGTAGCCTCGCGGACTGGAACAAGTCTAGAGGACATGAAACAGTACCCCCCGAGTTCAGCCTTTACCGGCGCGCCTCAAACCAAGCGCAAACGCAGGTGCCGACCACGCGCAAGACGAGTCCATGCGTCGAAAAGATCATCTGTCAAGACGTAATTACGAGGAAAAATTGAAGCAAGCTGGTCGCCAGTGGGCGCACTTGAAGGTACCAGCGCGAGGGCTTCTTGATATGGTCGAAGATCACGCGATAAGCGAACAGGGGCCTCCGGCTCCAACCCCAAAGACGCAAAACCTGCCTTCCATTTCCTTCCATTGAAAAAGGTCTGGCTCAAAGCAAAGACTCGGCGTAAAAAATCCTCTGGCAGTGTCTCGCTCTCTCCCAGACCCATCTGAAATTGCTGTTTGAGATGGAACTTGAAAGCCGAAAAGGCCAGTGTGTCCAAAGGCTGAATCAGCCCAGTTAGGCCTGCTGGAATGACAGCCATCCAGATGTTGCTGTTGTTCGCGGCGCGCACCGTGTCGGGGTGAATGTGGGAAGCATGACAATCCAGAAGCAAGATTGCTTGGAAGGCCGGGAAAGCAGCCATTACATGTGACAGTTCCTCGAGTACACGTTTCATCACCCGAACCGTTGACCACGCGCTTGCCTCACGCCAAATATGTAGGTTGTCCGGCTTCTGAGCAGAAACAGTCCGCACTGCTCGAGCGCTGAGAACAGAACGCTTGGCCACAAGGAAACGGGGCAGCAAGGGCTGCAAAGCTTCATTCGTGCAGATGATGGGCGTATAGTAAAGCCTCCCCTGCGACGCTTCGCGCCCGTCACTCTGGTCTTGCGAAGAACATTGCCAGCAAGTGAGCCAGGGCTCCAGGGGATGTAGCTTTCATCCAAGTTCAGCAAGATTGGAATCTTGCCAACGCCGATACAGCAGTGGCGTAGCCAGAACACCCACTGCCACAGAGTTTTTACCTGAACACAAAGAGTCAGAGGACCCAGAGCAACCTAAAGGATGCACATGTTTGAGGCCACTATGGTGTCAGAATTTGAGGCCACAATTTGGCTTCATTACTCACGCGCCCATATACTACCGGGGACTTTCTGAAGCCGATTCGGGCTTCACTGTTTTCTTCGCCAGACCTTCGCCGCAAGCTCTGCGCAAGGTGCAGGAGGCTTCACCGAAAGCACTCGAAAAGCAACATTCCAGCGTTCGCGGAAGTCTGCAGACCACTTGCGCAAGTACCGCCCAGCGCTGTGATTCAGCGAATTGTTGTGGACCGCCCTCGCCAGCGCACCGTCCCACCGGGAGTCATGAAAAGCTTCGCAAAACATCAGATACTTGCTGGCCATGGCAGCCGAGCTAGGGGCGGCGCCGAGCATGTTTTGAGACTCCAACCATTCAACTGTTCGCAGTTCCGCCAAAAACGACACTGCTGCGTGTCGGACACGCGCGTGTCTTCCAGGTTCCCCACACTCCAAAGCAATCAGTTCGTCGATGGAAGTTTCTAAGTACAGGCTTTCTGTCAACTCACGCACCTCTGCTGCACTGTGGCTCGGTTGCTGCCGGACCGCATTTCTTGAAGCCACATACAATGCCACAGCATTGAGATTGTACCGCGACAACAAATATATCGCCAACACGATGCTCGCTTCCCGCACGGTCAAATGCAGCGTCGCCGCACGTGCTTTGGATCGACTCAAAGCTTTTCTCACCGACGCCATGCATTTCTGTACTCTGCGTAATGCCTGGCTCAGAACCAATTACCAAACCTACTGTGTGAGATACTCACAAAAACAGCAAAAACCTTGGCATGCCCAACCAGTCCTGCACAGCTGGTGCCTCGCCGCCACGGTTGCCGCCGCCATCAGCCCTGCCTTCGGCACGGCCGCCCAACTCTTCCATGTCTTCGGCCGCCTCTCCCATGAGGCAGGGTCCACGAGAACTGGCCAGCGAGCTACAGACAGCAGAGGAAAAAACTGCAGAAGCCAAAATAGCATTGCAGCACGGCCCCGTCATTCCAACACGAACAGGTGCATATGATGGATGACTTGTCCCGCAGAGCCCTGCACAACTCGCAGGGTACCGAAACTGGTCCTGGACTTTTCCTCTGCATCCGAAGCAGAAAGTAGCCTCACCCAATGTTACAAAATCATACAGATTGGCCCCCCCGCCCCCCAATTTCAATGTTCGTTTCTTCCAGCCAGCCAGACCGGCAGTGCCCCCTCACAGCAGCAGCAGACTGTCCACTGCAACATTGAAATTAAGGGGGTGCGGGGAAATCTGGATTCAAGCGTGAATACGAGAGTCTAGCTGGATTTAATGACTTGGTTGGAAACGGAGGCCGAAGCAAAGACACATGGAGCGGGAAAGGCTGCAAGTACGGACGGCAGCTGCTTCCAGAGACAAGAAACTATCCGCAGCACATTTTGACGCTGGTCTTGCACAGCACGGCCGTCGTCACGGGAGCTGGCAACACCTGCTCACAAGTGCGTTGAAGAGCTTCCACTGCCTGCAGGCATTCCTACACTCCTAGACCTTCGTGTTCAGAGCGCTGCCTGGGCAGCTGTTCCACCCTCCACTTGTGTCAAAGCCCGCCTCTTCTGCACAGCGCGGCCGTCAGCACGGGAACTGGCCAAACCTCTGGTCAACTGGGTCGTGACAGGGAGTGCAGCGTGCCTGTAGACCTTCACGCATCGTGACCTCCAACAACTTCCACTCTCCAAGCTCTGCCTTGTAGCCTCAGCCATCCCACCTTCCACCTGCCTGGCCGGCGTTCCAAGCCCAACAGTCAGCACAAGCTGAGGTCAGAAGGACATAGCAGCACTGAAGACACTTCAGAACGGTTGCAAAAGCTCGGAGAAGTCGCATGCTGTGCACAGTGCATACGCATGGAAAGGGAAATTTCACGCAGCGCGGCTCTCGTCCTCCAAGTTTGTGATGTAAGCATGTGTTGTGCCACCTTCCAGCACCCTGACTCTTGCACGTCTCTGCACAACACCAAGATCTGCTCGCGCAGCTCCTCCTCTGTGCCTCTGCTTGTCGGAAGAGTTTCCTACGGTGCGGCGCGTATCTAACCTCAAAAACTGTCAGCTCTAAGGTTTTTGTCGAAGTTTCTCTGGGGTTGGAGATCCTAAACCCCGCAGAAAGTTCGAAAAAAATGGTGTATGACACGGTCTTACATTTTGAAAGAGACATTGCGTCGCTACAATCTGTCCTACGGTTTTTGCACCTCTAGAACAGGCTCGCCGCAATCTTTGCCTCAAAACTTAACACCATTTTGGTCGAACTTTCGGCGGGCTTGAGCATCTCCAGCTAGTCAATGCTCCCTGTGGTCTTCAAACATTTTTCCGCGCCTTCGGTTGGCTTTCAGCCCATCACGTAGCCATCACTTCGCGCTTATCCTCCGGCTCTGCGGAAGGCCCAGACGTCCAGGTTTCTGCTAGACTTGCGGAGTTTCGTGACGCTGCGAATGAAAGGAGCAGGTAATGGTTCGCACGTTTGTAACCCTGCCAGTCAACATCCACAGCATCGGTGGCGTTAACCTGACGCGGTTTTTCCTGCATTTGCAGATGACATAGACCGGCTTTCTGGGACCCAAAGCAAAGGCAGACCAAAGCGCTCTCCCGAAATCCGCCGCCTGGCACAGCGATTAAGTTTGAAAGGCTCGTGGTGCAGCTGGCGCACAGTTTTGCCGTGGCCGACCGCACGACTCTTTCGTTCCTCGACACCAGGTGATCAGACAGCGCTTTAGCTGCTGACTGCCGACAGGAGGCGGCGCTGCTCGAAAGGCAGCAACTCCCCCCAAGATTGCAAGCGCCTCCAATCTTCTACACTAAGCTCCGTCACATGCACGGCACCCAAAGCGTGGAGCTCGGCATCCATGTGCTGCATCTTCTCCGCGGGCAGGCGGGCTTGCACACATAGAGCTGCAAGTCCAGCCACACCCGCAGCTTCTGATGCTGGTTCCACGGCTCTGGGCGGCCCCACGACACGGACCACCTGCTCTGCATCGTGCTGCGCTGCCGCGTCGCGGATCCACGCGCACATGCACTGCTTGCAGGGCTGCGTGTCCTGGAGATGACGGACGGTGGCGGTGGCCGTGAAAACATGGACACGGCTCTGCATGTGGCGCACATCTTCCTGGGAGACGCTACCATATGGCACCCAGAGGCCCTCGGACTTGGCGGTCATAATGCATCCACGATGCCACTCAAAGTCCACATTGCCATCGTTGAAGGCCTGCGAGACTTGCACCTCGAGGGGCTGGCCCTGAAACAAGCTCAAAAACGCAGTGACTGGTAGAGTCTCCTGGGCGTATTCCACAGGTCTGTAGTCATCCCAGAACAAGAACCGCTTCTCTTTCAACAGATTGCGAAGCGCGAACTTGGAGTTCAATGCAGGCTTGTGGAAAACGTGCTTGAACCCGAAAAGATCATCAAAGGGAAGCAAGATGGTTGTCTTCCCAGAATTCGTGGGACCTGCAAGAAGCGGCACCCGTGTTGTCTTCGAAGGGCCTGAGCGAATGATCGCCCGCAGGGCCGTTGCCAGCTCCTGCTGCGACACACACGCTGCATTGGCCGAGAAGAACGCTTGCACGGCTGCGGCATAGGTGCAGCTCCCATCATGTGGGCAGGCTTCCTGCGCTGTACGGCAGACCAGATCCCAGTCCAGATCTTTTTCGGCCGCTGCCGCGGAGCGTGCCATTCCCCAGTCGGCGGCTTCTTGCAGAAAGTCCGCAAGCTTTCTCTGATGCGCGTGAACGAAGACCTGCATCTCGGCCGTGCCATGGTCTTGGGCATATGCCAGCACGGCAGCCTTGGTCGTCAAGTTCTTCGCCAGCATGATGGAAGTCAAATCCAATTTGTTGAACTTCGGCCTTTTGGAGCTCTGTTGGCTTCCGCTGGCCGTTTTTGCGGACTCCTGTAAGTCCAAGGTTGAGCTAGGTCTCATTACGGAACATTATGCCAGAAACCTGCACGCAAAAACGCAAGGACTCCGATGCACAAGAACACTTTTCAGCCCAAACCAAAGGTCCTCGTGTCTACGCTTCCAGACTTCAGCCATCCATGGTCTCTGCGACTCGGCAAACAAGTCCAGCGCACCCCAACCGCCATCTTCTGACCAGGATACGGGGTTGGCATCCACCTCGGGCTTCTTGGCCGTGGGGATGTGTCCATATCGGACCGCGCTCCAGAAGCCAGTGTGCGAAGCGGAAAAGTGCGCAGCGAGGTGGTCTCGCTCACGCAGGGTGCGCTTTGCGGCAACGAAGCTACGCGATTGTCGCAGCAAGACCGCGACGTGGAAATGATGCATGCCGTCCGCATGCTCTTCTCGAAAAACGACGAGTTTGCGAACCAGCTGTGTAGCACCTGGAGGGCGGCCACGACCTGCAGCTACAGGCTCGTCAAAAGCCTTCCAAACGCAGCAAGCAAGGTCTTCGCGCGACATCGCTTCCAAATCTCGCAGATCGCGAAGCTCTGCCGTGCCCGGCAAGAGACGCGCAAATGTGAGAAAGTGGACTTGTGTCTTCTTAGATTCATCCTCGGAGCCGAGTATGTCCAGCATGGCTTCCATGCGCTGCTCGGGGCTTTGTTGCGCACGCGCCACACGGTTGTCCACGGCTTCGCGAATCCAGAGATTCACTTGGTCAGCGGCGGCTTCTAAGCCTTTGCGCCCGAAACCAAGATGGCGTGCGATTTGGCAGCGAAAGTCATAAACGCTCACCTGCTGCAGATCCACGCTGGGCAAAAGTTCGGCGATGGCACCTCGCACGCGCACCTCGGTTGTCTCGTCTAGCTCGACGGGTCCGTCTGGGTGTTGTTGAGGTTGCAGGACAGCTCGCTCACCGGGTTCTGCACTGCCATCTGCGTCTAGGTGTTGCTCCGGGCCATTTGCCAAGGGCTGGGGCTCACCGGATGCTTCGCTGCCATCAGCCATCGCCAAATTGCGCGCACATGGTTCGGACAGCGTCACGAAACGCGGGTTTCGTTTGCATACCCTGGCTTCTGAAACAAGAAATGCTTCCACAAGCGCTCGCTTGCAGTGAACTCATGAGGTGCGCAGATCTTGCTTGCGACAGGTTGTGACTGATGCAGGCGTGGCTGCTGCCTCGGCATGCCTGCTGGGCATTGAGCACCTCGCGGCGCGGTTTTAGCCAGCTGGCCTGGGTGGCTTTGCAGGTGAAGGCGTGATAGTCGCCCTGCCCTGCCCTGCCCTGCCCGGCCCGGCGGGGCCCGGCCCTGCCCCGCCCCGCCCCACCCCGCCCTCCCCCGCCCCGCCCCGCCCCGCCCCGCCCCGCCCCGTCCCGCCCCGCGCCCCGCCCCGTCCCGCGCCGCCCCGCCCCGCCCCGCCCCGCCCTGCCCTGCCCTGCCCTGCCTAGTGCCTGAATAGTGCCCGAATAGTGCCCGAAATAGTGCCCGAAATAGTGCCCAAATGAACCCTTCATAGTGCCCAAATGATTTTTCTTGCGAAAAAAGACAGATTTTGTTTTCCTTTACAAGAGAAATTCATTTGGGCACTATGAGGGGTTCATTTGGGCACTATTTCGGGCACTATTTCGGGCACTATTCGGGCACTATTCGGGCACTATTCAGGCACTAGGCAGGGGCGGTGGAGGGAGGAGGCACGGCAGCTCGGACCCCCCCCTCCTCCCCCTAGCCTCCTCCTCTCCCCTCCGCTTGGCCCTTCCTCTCTTCTCGCCGCGCCCTTTCCCGAGACAGGTGATAAGGTGCTGAACCAACAGCAGGAACGGAGTGGTTTTCGTCCCACTAGACCGCAAACAGGCAAGCTGCTGTCACAGCAGCCCCAAGCCAGGAGCGGAGGGAACGTGGCAAACCCAAACCAAGCTGGACCCTCGGAAGGGCGGCTTACAAACCCGCTTGAATACATCGAAACTCCGTTTGAAGATCTGCGGGCGCTGGCCATTGTGGATGGCTTGGAGCATCGTGCTTGCATGACCTGAACAACGTCAAGCTCTCTCTGACGCCCCACACAAGTGTTTTAGTCCCTCCTTCTTT